CAGTTGCTTCAGATGATTGCAGCTTTTCGCTCACAAGCTCCAACAAGACAGCAGAACTACGAAAGTCAAAGACCACTGAAAGAAGATCATTTTCATATCATGATCAATCAACTGATTCGATTAATCAGGCGCTCGACTTTGAGTCTGTGCCACTGATTGGTAGGGAGAAAGAAGTCTCAACCCTCAAGACATGCTTTTCACGAATGATTGAAACATCATCGAATGAGAAGAATAACACCTTCGAGAGCAGAAAGGAACTTGTCCTTGTTGCAGGGAAATCTGGATCTGGCAAGACTGCTGTTACTCGCACTCTAGAAAAAGAGGTATTGAAGCACACCAAAGGTATCTTCGTTCAAGGAAAGTTTGACATGAATACCAGCAGTGAGCCTTATTCTGGCATCTGCAGGGCTTTCGGCAGCTTGTGCTTAAAGATCAAGGAGGCTCCGGCTGAAGTACTTTGTACTGTTCAAGCTTGCATCAACGAACAACTGGGCAACGATGTCGACTTGCTACTTCATCTGATCCCCGAGCTTGGGGACCTCATCAGTGTCACTGCGAATGATTCAGCTGTGAAGGATCTAGGAGCTGATGAGATCGAAAGCAAAGTCGAGCGATTACGCTTCGCCTTTCGTGTTCTCATGAGAGCCTTCAGCTCTGCTGCGTCACCGATTGTCCTTTTCCTCGATGATTTGCAGTGGTCAGAAGTATCGTCCCTTCAAGTACTGGACTTCTTGATGACCGATGCCCAAAACGAGAATCCCTTGATGATCATTGGGTGTTACAGATCCGATGAGGTAGATGAAAATAGTCTGCTCCACAACAAGATCGTAGCCCTACAAGAAATGACTGACAAGTACAAGTTTCATCTCACGGAAATTAAGGTTGGACATTTCGGTATCAACGAGATCGACGAGATCATCGCAACGACATTGCCAAATCCAAGCATGGATGCCACTCTCGACCTTGCTGCCATATGTCTCAAGCGTACACTTGGTAATCCTTTTTTTGTGCTAGAGTTCCTCAAGATGCTTCATCAAGAAGGGCTCTTGCAATGCGACAATAATTCGAACTCGTGGACTTGGGATGTAGACAAAATCGACGGTGCCACCATGTCGACTGCAAACGTGGTGGCCATGCTTCATGACCAGATGACTAAGTTGCCTCATCAAGTTCAAGCCCTGCTGCAGTGTGCGGCATACATCGGGTCCACATTTACTGAATCCACCATCAATCTTGTCTGGACGACATACGGCCGCAGACTGGTCGAGAGCAAACTCGAGCTCACTGCTGCTTTACTCCACTTCATATTGAAAGAACAGATCTTGGAAAAGGCTGATAACAACACTTTCAGATGGGTTCACGACAAACTCCAGGAAGCCGCTCTCAGTCTAACTGGCAAGCGTCGTGAATCTTTCCAGCTTGACATTGGTCGTACTTTGTACTATGGGTTGGACAAGCAGCAAGTGGAAGTTGAATTATTCACCATTGTGGATCTGATCAATAACGGTAACGTTTTAAGGCTGACTGAGTTTGCAAGTGCTAACCTACGAGCAGCTGAAAAGGCCAGAGACTTGAGCGCTTTTCAGTCAGCAGCAGAGTACGCAGCTCATGGCATTGGTCTGCTGAAAAATGATAAGTGGTCTA